TAGCAACAGGAAGAGCCACGACAATTTGGATCAAAAAGCACTATTACAAGAATCCAGGTGAGAAGCGAAAGGAAGTTGCTAACAGTAGCAGTAGTAGTCTGCACTCTGACAGAACACCACTAATAGCAGCTCTGCACAAGTAATAAGCTCCCAGTATCCTCTAGTAACTTGTCATTGAAACCCTTCCCATAGATGAACTGTGGCTTGGCTGTCATACTTCTGTCACCTGGACATTTTAGAAATTGGTTTTAATGGTGTTTTCTCCAGGAGCTCAACACATAGCTCCAATTTAATTCCTAATTTTGAGATTGGCACGAATATTCACCTATAAATAGCCCTTTATAAAATACCTTCAAACTGTACCTATTTTCTATACTCTGCTTTCTTTTAAAGGAATATGCCCAGCTTAAGTGTAAACACAAAAGCCTATATTTTCTTCCAAGCAACAGAGGGGAACACCAGCCAACAGTTACCCATGAGGAGGGTGAGTATACACCATGTTGGTCACAGCTGGCAAGGCAGAGCTCCATCCATGCCAAGACAGACTGATACTTCCTCTCCAGTTAGAAGCAATCATTTTCCTGTGTGATATCTACTTGTTTTAGCGACCAAAGCCCAAACACCAACTCTATGAAATAAAAACAAAAATACATGACAGAAGCTTAACAACTAAACTGAGAGAAATGCAGAGAAATGGATGAACACTGTACAGTACACATTTATTTGGAATGTATTTATTATTAATGCTATGGTGTTATAATTTTAAAAGGAAATTCATTTGAAGTATGAAATAAATTGCTTTTTAGTTATTTTCTATCTCTTTTCATAAGGAAGTTATCAGTGTCCAATTCAGTTTCAACTGAATTAACTATCCAAGCAAAAAAAAAGTCCCAGATTCTCTTATTAAAAAAGAAATCATAAAGATTAAAAAAAAAAAAAAAAAAAAAAGAGAGAGAGAGAGAGAAAAAAAAAAGGAGAAAGTTACTGTCAGTGAACATCTGCATCCACTTGCACACTGGTGAATGACAACTGAACAGTAAGATCATGTCTACTACACAGGGAACTACGCAAGAAATCTAATAACATTGCAGCCTATAAACAGGATGGGCAGAAATAACAGTCACTGCCTCACCCAAACAACCAAGAGGAGGTTTTGGGTTGCTGGAAATGCACAACGTCCATACTTATCATTCCAAATGCAGTATCCTCTCTAACCTCCCTGTAATCACAATAAATCACAACTACTGGATGATTTAGGGATTATGAAGATCAAACATCCACACACACCCCGTATACTAGAGACACTGACAATGCTTTAATGTATTGCCACTTGAATCAATTTTGACAGTTCGCCATATATACAGACGCACACGCTCACACACCTGCTCATTGCATCATGTTACCCTGACTCACTAGGAATTACACAGCACTGAACTAAAAACGAGTCAGTTGAGGATAGCTTTGAGGCTGAATTATCATTGTAAAAGTAAAATTTCAAACAAAAGTCATGAATTTCCATACGCTTAATGTCTAGAGTGTATTGACCTGGCTGATCATGAACCATGAGGCTGGATCAGCTTAAATCAGTGCTGCTGGAAGACTGCTGTTCCTTATAGTCAAGCTATACCTGACCACATCAAGCTATTCCATCAGCTGAGGAAGATCATCTTCACCTTTAAGAAACAATCCATAGACACAGATACCAGAGGACAAGAAAGGAATTGTAAGATCAGATTGGTGAATTAGGCAGCTATCCCTGATCTGAGCTCAAGCTGTTGCTTGTAAGGCACCAGAAAGCATATTACAACTACTGTGCAAACATGAGACACAAGTATCTAGAGAACATGAGCCAGGTATACAGAAAGCACTGAAAAACATTACTTGACTCAGACATAAGATTGTTGGACCACATCAGAAATGTGTTTAGTTAGCACATCTTCTGGAGAATTCAGCCAACCTCAATCCGTTGAGATGGCTCTAAAAGGGAGGAGTGCTACCCTCTCATTTTGTGCCAGATAAGCACACTGACAAACCTTATTTTCATATGTTCCTCTCACAGAGGACAGTCTTGGAGGGATAGGCAGAGCTGCTGCTTCTTAGCAGACAATATATGGAATCACATAAAATAAAGACGAAAAATTATATTTCGCTCAGAACAACAGATGGCACTTTATCTTTTTAGGCCAACCAAAACTACAGCACTATGCTATTAGTAAGATCGGCTTCAATTCAGCTTTAACCTGTCTTGCTTGCTTTAGAACTAGAGAGAATTGAGAGAGTAGTATCAATAAGCACTTACATTACGTCCTTAGAGTTGAAGGCGTTAGATAATTCAAGAGGGGATCCTTAATTGCTAACATGTCTTAGTAAAAACAAACAAACAAACAAAAAACAGCAAACAAGCAAACAACACAACAACACAAAATTGATGGATGCTATGAAGAAATATGTTTCCATTGCAATGCCAAACTAAAGTCATCTTCTAAATTACTAGGTAACAGTATCATTGTGCTCAGTTACAGTTTCTAAAATCAACTTGGTGTTTAATGTAAGGGATAAATGAGAAGGAAGGTAAAAACGAAAAGGCTGTTAAGGTATTTTAGCACCTCATCCATAACTATGATGGCCTCATCAGGTAGAGCCGCTAAATCCTACAGTTATGAGATTACCTCAGAGAGCAAAGCTTATTTCTAAAGCACTCATCATCAGCAGATCCAACTGTTAGAGGATATACTTAACGTTCTAATCTATTTTTTTTCTTTCATACCTGAGTGTAGGTCAAGGATAGGGAAATCAGGAAAAATGGTTTCTTTGAAAGGGAAACAATATATATAACTTCAGAAGGATCTAGATTCTTTTCCTGACTTTGCTAGTTGATTCATCAAACATACCAAAAACCACACCAAACAACCAGTAGGTTAATTCTGTTAACAATAGGTGAATATATATAGAACAAAATTTTCAAATTCTGTATTCTCAGTTGCACACAAAAATATGAAACCAAAATGTATACGTATAATATATGTATACCTTAAATCAAGTCAACTTTTAACCTTTAGCATGACAGGTATTATCCCCCAGACATGAAGAACTTTGTAAGACATGCAAAGTCCAAATCATAGCTCCCCCTGAAGTGTGTTTCTTACTGCTTTAAGACCTGGCAAGTTGGTCATCCTTTACACAGCAAGGGAAGTAAAACCACACTGCTCAAGCAGCCAGCAACTGTGAAACAGTTTGAAATAATAGGTATAAAATGCTTAATGAGATTCTCAGCACCACATCGTTACTTGCCTACCAGTATCAAGAGTTACCGGAGTACCTTTACTAAGTATAAGAAAGAAAGAAGAAAGAAAGAAAGAAAGAAAGAAGAAAGATAAGAAAGAAAGAAGAAGATGCACTCATGTTAGAAGTATTTCAGTACAGCTGTGAATTGAAAGTACGCACAGAACTTGTTAAGATGTATCACAGCATCTATTTTGATTTGTTCGTTAAGTGATTTTGTTGCAAAATCAGTGAACAGACATGCAGAAACCTGCTCCAGGATGTAGTGTATGCAACATCAGTTATCAACTGATGAATTTCAGAAAAACAAACGAAAAAAAAAAGCAGATGTTATATTACACAAAAAAATGAAAAATTATCAATTCATTTCAGATATCCCTCTCTTGTCCTTTCCAGTTCTCAGAAAGCTTTATCAACCAAAGTAACTGCAAGCCTCTCACTAATGACGAGCACAAGGCATTGTGACTATTCTCCACAAGCAAAACACGGAGGTCTGGTGAAATAGACTGCCAAGCAACCATAAGCAACAATCCATCATTCAGAGACAGTCCTCCTGCTCCGAGCAATGGGAGCAGGTCCTGCCGCTTCTGCTCAGCCTGCTTCACTGCAGCGCTCTGCACTAAAAGTCACAGTTGCTCCACACCGCATGGACAGCCCGAGCCTACTCTCACATCGAAGCCTTAAAGCTGACGTGAAATTAAAAAGACGCAAACACTTTCTCAAATAATTGCTAAGAAAACCTCCCTGGATGAGAAGTACACGCTGTACAGGCAGCAAAAGAAAAAAAGCAAATGATTTGGCATTGTCTAAATGATTCCTGGCGCTCAAAGGATAATTCTACCTCAGCGTTAGGATAAATGTTAAATCAGCTCAGCCAGGCTACAAGTTTTGATGTCTTTTCAAGCTGCAGAAGCCACACGGAAGTTAAGGACAGCGGGAGGCAGCTTGTTGCTCCTACTGTCCTCTCACCTGAGCGATGAAAGCAGCCGCGTCTGTCACCGACCAGAAAACTCGGCAACAGAACCTGACAAGAGCAGGGGAACGCTCGGCAGACAGCGCTCTCTCACGGACCGGCTCTTTCACGGCGGCTAACGCACCGCGACAGCCTTCCGTGGGACGCTGCAACCGCCACCACGGGGAAAGGAGCGCGCGGCCGCCCCCGCTCCTCGCCTCAGGCGCGCGCTGACCGTTACACCGCGCGGCCGCACCTGGCGCCCAGGTTTAAACCGCCGCGCGCGCAAAGCCTGCGGCAGCGGAGCCGAGGGCGAGCCTGGCTCAGGCGCGATTCCGCGGCGCCCGCAGGGCTGCGAGCGGCTCGTTCCCACAGCCCAGCCCTTCCGCGGGAGCCCTCCGGCGAAGCCGCGAGGGAACTCCGCTTTCGGGACGGCTTCCCGCTCGGCCTAGGACGCGAGGCCGGGGACACAGCCGGTGGGCGGCAGCCCGCAGGCCCGGCCCGCGCAGGTAGCCGAGGGCCCTTCTCCCGCCACAGGCGCGGGGCTGCAGGTGGAGGGCTGGGCCCGTCCCTGGGGCGACCTCGCCTCCTAGCGCCGGGGCGCGGCAGGGGCTCTGGACCCCGCCGGTCGGCCCCTGGACCTGTTCTCACCGGGCCGCTACGTGACCGAGCGACGGGGAAGGGAGCGCGGAGCGGCGAAGCGAGGCCGGGGGAGGAGGACCCGAAGCGGCCCCGCGGCCAGCGGCCGCCCGGGACGCCGCGTTACCTTTCGAAGAGCAGCCGGATCATAAAGATGCAGAAGGCCAGCGGGAAGGCGAGGTAGAGGTCCTCCGCCTGCGGGAAGGAGGCTTCCTCCGTGCTCTGCAGGTCGGCCCAGGTGACGTTGTGCGGCAGCCAGAACCGCTCGTTCCAGAACCAGGCGAGGATCCCTGCCATCTTTGCTTTGTCTGTCGCGGCGCCCCCCGCTCCGTTCTGCTCCGCCGGCCGGCCTCTACCGCCGCGGCTGCCGGGGGACAGAAGAGGATACGGGCGCGTGTCAACCCCGCGGATGCTGCTGCTGAGAGACGATGCCGGCTCCCCGCCCCGACTGCCCGGCTGGGGTAGCGGCCGCCCCGCCTGTCACTCGGCCACGCCGGCCCCCATTGGCTCCCGCCCGCTCCCCGCCAGCCGCCGTTGCGCGGTGTGCGGCTGCCTGAGGCTGCTCGGGGCCGGCCCCGCCGGCTGCCCGCGGCCGACTTTCTCCCTCCCCTCTCCTCCTCCGTCGCGGAGAGCCTGGGGGGCAGCGCAAAAACCCTTCCGAACCCGGAGCATCCTTGTCGACTGAGGGAGCCCCCGCCCTTAGCGGTACCCACGACTGTTATCCTCGTACTGAGTCGGACTGAAGGCGGGAGCCCTAGCTGAAAGGAGCCACTGAAACGCCTCTCTACTTAAACCCATGCACCAAACAGCAGTAAATGAGGCACGGACGGGTGTCTGGAGCACACCCCTCGGCAGAAGTAAATCTGAGGTGAGAGCTACAGCTTTCTATTCCTAGATAAAAAAAGTCTCTTGGCATTTATGTAGATCATGACTTTGGTATTTTACAGCCTGGTCCTAGCAGCTACAACCTACAAGAGGAAAATTATAGCCGTATCTGCTACATTTCACAGAAAAGATGTAAAGCAAATTTCAGTGCTGTTGTGGCCTCTGGCCTATAGACTAAGTGGCTTAGGCATAGACAAACATACTTCAAGTCTTAGATTCACTTCTCCCACACCATCCCCTTTCCTGATCTGCCTCACTTGATTTTTGTTGGCTTCAATTTTCTCCTCTGCATCATCACACCCTCCAACTGGCTACTGAATTCCTAGAGAAGCTGACTGCTTTGCAGAGCACATTCCAGAATTTTTGTCATCCTGCTTGTAGGTTTGCTGCCAGCTTGCTCTTTATTTTATCTTTTTCCACTAGTTCTACTTGTCTTTCCTGAAAAACTAATTACATAGTATTTTTTTTTTTTTTTTTTTTTTTTTACATCTGTGTGCTGACAGTTCTATGCTGAAGAAAATCCTAAGGTAAACACACAGCACAACCATACAGTGAAAAATGCTACAGTTTTAACAAAACTTGTCATTTTTGTATATGGTGAACATTGCCATGTAGGACATTGTGAGGATGTTTCAGAGAATGCTTTAGCAAGATGGCTGAGGAGTCATGCAGGTGAATCTGCTATTGGATGCTTTTGGCTTATTGCTGAGCCAACAGACAATGTATTTGTGAAGTTTCTGATTCAGTGGTCCCTTCCAGGGCAAAGAGAAAAGAGCTGGTAGCTGGAGGCTACTCCATGGACACCCAGTTGTTCAAACCATCCAAAAAAAAAAAAAAAAAAGTGTGGACTGTAGCACTGCTCAGAGCTATCTGGTTCTTCACTTCCTTAGCTGTGGAGCTCACCACCAGGGCCCACCTGAGCCCTTCACAAAGTTACAAGCTCTGCTGGCTCCAGCCCCATGCATAAGTGTCTCAGGATCCTGCTCAGAGTCCCAGCATGAGCAGCCTGCTAGAATGTGGGGCTTTGCTGATTTCAGCTTAGAGTGAAACACGCAGTGGGAGTCGCATGCCTCTAACACAGCCTTCTTTACCTACGAATCATGATTTTTCTGAGCATAAGATAGCATGTTTTATTTCCTCAAATCCACAAGACTTTTAACCAGTGCTCAAACCATAACTGGCTGCCGTCTACATTCCTTCTTCCTGCCTCTCTCCCTTGACCTCACAGCCAGATCTCACACCAAGTTCTGACTGACATAGAGATTCTCTTGGGAACTCATTTTCCAGCTCTCTCACCAACATCTGAGCTGGCTGCTGCACATTTGCATATGCCTCTCTTCAATTACAAGACCCAAATCTTCCAGATCTCTCTATTTTCAGCATTGACCTGTCTTCAGAGATATGTACGTGTATCCTCAGAAGTATAGAATTTTGAATTGATAAAGTCTTCAGGTAGTTTCAATAGCTGACAATATGCAGAAAACCATTGGCTTAATTAGTGATAATTGCATTTGAGACAATTAATTTTAACTGGAAAATTCGTATCATTATTCTGCATCTAAAGGTGATCCATTTCTGCAGTGTACTTTGCTATTCCAATGAGTACAAATATTTTTAATATTTATGTCTGTTTCTAATACAATACAATAGTTCTTTCCCAGACATTGCAGAGGCTCATTAGTACTGGAATTTTGTATTGCTTACATGCAGATACAGGCAAGGAACTGGTCTTTGCAAAATGAACCTAGCCACAACAACAAAAAGAGGTTAACTCCCACTGAGCAACTAATACTACTCTGGCTTTTCTGGGAGAGTAGAATTATTTGGGGGCAACAGCTCTCTAAGGATATCTGAAAACATTTCTGAAACATTTGGGTGGGTGACCGTTAAAACCTTTTAATAGACTTCATATTACCATAGCAATCATGTGGAAGTAGCCAAGGGAAGACTACAGAATGAGAACAGCCGAATCTTGTGCTGTGGAGAGGTGATACTACAGGGGAGCTCAAAAACAGTTTCACTAATTTACAGTGGTTAATAACCCCTTCTTAAAAAAAAAAAAAAAAAAAATGCCTTTTTTTTTGTTGTTGTTCATCTTCAGTCAACAGGAGTTTGTATTGAACCTTTAAACTGCTTTGAGCCTGTTAGCATTCCTACAACTGCATCATGCTGCCAGCCATGACTCCAGGCTGTTCTTCTGAATGCCTGCTGATCCCAACAGGTGTGGGGCTTCCTTTTTTTTTTTTTTTTTTGCACTGTTACTTATGTCAGTTTTCTAATTTGCTTCACCCAAAAAGTAAAACCACACTGAGTAGCAGTCTGTTATGAGATCTATCCTAGACATTCAAATCAGTCCTGACTTCCACATGGGTTTATTGTTGAACTGAATAAACTAGTCTGACTTCACCCAGTTACCAAGTGGCACACACTGAATTTACTGCCAGAGCTCTGCATAATAGAGCTTAAAAATACATCCATGCAGTAGGTGTCCCCAGGTTATATCACTTCACAGTCTTCCAATTGTTTTTATCTTGGCAGACAAGCAGGTTTTGATACTTGGGAAGACATGCAATTGTAATTAGTTTGGCTGCTGTGAGATGATGTGTGGACAAGTAGCTTTAGTTGAAAGAACGGTTTATGTGCCTCAGGAGAGTTTGTGCATTGTGCTGGGCTCTAATTCAAGTTGACCCAAAGCAGAATTGCTCTGTGAGAACTGGTAACTGGTCAGAAGGAAAAGAGGAAGCAAGGATTGAGTCACTATGTATCCATGCCACATTTTTCCTCTATTGTTCACTTTGGTTTGGCTTCCTGCTCTAGCTTTGAAGAAAGTGTGACAAAGTGTACATTGTAATTATGATACAGTCATAGCTCACAATTTCAGCATTGCTTAACAACATAAGCTTGTGGTAAGCTAATTAGACTGTATGCACACTATGATAAAGTTAGTCAATCTTTTACATCCATTTTGACTGATTTGTCCTGAAAGAAAGTTTCTAATTTTACATGCCAGCTCTTAGCGCAGACAGAAAAAGGGCTGATTTTATCTCATTTGAACTAGTTACAGTGTTACACTTCACTTGGCACTTCAGATAGATCCATTTCATGCCTATTTGTGTGGCCAGCTTTGAGCTAGAATCTCATCACAATCTACTTAGCATAGTAAAAGAACTTTTCAAACCTTATTGCAGTTCAGGTTATTGCTGCATGGAGTTATACGGCTCTTGTCTCAGCATCTAGTGATACTCTGGGGGACTGCAGACTTAAAGTAGTCCAGCCTTATTTACTTGTACTGCAAAATCTGGGCACTAACTAACCACATAGCTGTGCCAGACTCTACAATGAGCACATAGCCTGGAGTCTGTGCCAGCTTCACATCAGCTGCAAGGGGACAGACAATACCTGACCAGAGAACTAATCTGGCATAAAAAGGCAGCTACTTCAGTGCTAACCCATCAGAATACTTACATTGGTTTTACATTGACAGTGCAAGTTTGAGAGATCAGTATTTGCCTCCTAATGGCTGGAAGTTTTGTATCAGTTGTGGCAGCCTGAGTTACCCACTGTGTTACCTAACCACAGTCCTAAGAACTCTAAAACTCACCCTCAGAGTTAAATTCACTTACTGGTCATCTTCAGCCAGCTTCCAAGGTGGTTTTTATATTCTGCCCAGAGGAACACTTACCCAGTTATCTCATTTATTTCTTTTTCCTCACATGCTCTTTTAAATGTAGTTATACATTAATCGTTAGTCATCTGTTAACACACTTGTGTTTCACACATGAATGAGGCCATTGCTATTTAGCATTTGGTTTAAAGACCCCAGATATAAATTGTTAGCTGCCTCAGTGCTAAATGACAGGCAACTTGCCAGCAATAGATTTTTATTTTCTTATTACGTGGCTTTAAATGTCTTCCTTAGAAATTTGCTGTACTTTCATCACAAGTGTACAGGGAGACCTGTGCATGTTTGGTTTGACTGAAACTATCAATTAATGCCAACTTATCAGATTAACATTTTCATCTCCTCAAATCATAAAATATATTACTCTGACATTTTTAAGCCAGAGTGTCCATTTTTCTTTGTAACAACATTGCAAGAGTAAGGTTATTTCATTTAAGTGAATTGGAAGCAAAAGTATAAATCAAAGGATTGGTTAAAATTGGGCACATCATGGCCGTGTGATACAAGTGCAGATACAAGTCTAGAGCTTTAAAGCTCTAGGTAGTAATCAAAGAGTTCCCTACTTTCACTGCCAAGGTCAGCACTCTCAAGATGGCAAGTCACACAGATAAGGCAGCTAACTGGCAAAGGTACTAGACAGCTAGACTGGTGACCCAGTGGCCACACTCCCTGCTGGCAGTACTCTAATGCTGTCTCTTCTCTATCCTGAACATAACTTACTGCATCCTGTAAATAGGCTCATAAGCCTGTAAAAGGAAGCTGACACTATTTTGTCTCCTGCCTCTGTTACCAGAGCACAGCTACAGTGAACATTGGACAGCAAATTATTTAGGTATGGCTTTAAGTATTTTCTCACTGCAGTACCCAATTTCTCCTTTCTGCCCAGAGTCATGCAAAGCAGGACAGGCTTCTCAAGCTACATTTCTGCTCTACTGTGTATTTTCACTTTAGCTAGTTCATGCTGGGTAACTAATCAACAGAAAATTGATGTTTTCTCCACCTTGATTATGAAAAAAGGATGGGTTCTATTTCTTTTATCAAAACAAAAAGCACCATATTTTGTCAGATGTTATATATAGGCATTATGTTCTAATTACATAAAACAGTTACATACTTTGATGTATTACTTAATCTTTGACAAGTGTCATCATTTTACCCTCCCTATCAGGCTTTTGCCTCCACTTTGACTTAGAGTGGCTGTAGCCAATCTGTGTTCTCTTGAGTCCTTAGTCTCACTTGAAGTCCCAGAGCTGCCACACACTGTGCATGACTGCACCCTGAGAGTAGACGAGGAACTCTTTATGTCAGTAACAGACACTCCAACAAGATCTCTCTAGTGATTTATCATTCGTCAACTCATTCTCACCCACAATGCCTTCTGGATTAATCAGTGGCTTAACTAACATTTTTTTTTTAATTAAAAAATGTAGATATTTATGCATCAAAATAAGCATCCAGCAGAAAAGATAAGAGGGCTTGTTCACCTACAGGAAGCATTCACCCAAATTTAATATTGGTATAGCCTCACCTTGAATACTGCATATAGTTCTGCACTCCTCAATTTGAAAAGGATGTTGAGGTCCTTGAAGGCATCCATGAGAGGGCAGTGTAGCTGGTGATAGATTGGGAGGCAAGTCCTTTGAGAAGAGACCAAGGACATTAGGTTGCCCAGCCTAGAGAGAAGAAGATCATTAGGTGGCTTCATTGTTCCCTGCAGATCCCTGAAGGAGGAAAGAGAAGGAAAGCAGAAAAGCAGAGAGGGGCTAGGCTCTGCTTCTGGGAGCCAGTAACACAAGACACAAGAATGGCACAGAGCTGTGCTAGTGGACATTCAGACTGGACACAAGGAAAAACTTCTTTAATGTGAGAGTGGTGAAACACCAGAGTATGTTTCCTAGAGAGGTGACTGATACCCCATACCTGTAAGGATTCAAGAAGCATTTGGATAATGCCCTCAGTAGCAGAGCACTTAACTTCCGGTTAGCTGAGCAGTAGTCAGGTAGCTGAACTAATTGATCTTTTGAGGTCTCTTCCAATCAAGAAATTTTATTCTTTTCTATTCTACTCCATCTTAACAGGAATCTTCCCTTAAACAAATAATGTAGTCTAGGCTAAGAGGGAGTATGTCAGCATCTGTATCAGGTCAATGAGCATCCTTATTTCAAAGCAGACACAGAGGAATATAAATGAATTTTACTTAAGCCCTTACTAGTCAAACAGCAAGTTACCTCAGCTCTCTCTCTCCTATACTCAGTGCCTATAACATGGAAGCTGTAGAGTGCCTGCACTGATCTCACAGGAAGAACATAACAATCAGAAAGAGCAATGCAGAAGGCCAGCAATACAGAAAGCATAATAAGTGTACTAACACAAATAAAAAGGTGTCACAAAAGATAAATACTCACCTGTTGCTAAAGAGTTAGGCTTACAGGGAAAACTCCACAAGGAAGGAATCCCAAACCAGAGATCTTTCCCCAGTGGCAGTCAGCTTTTAAATGGTGCCTAGAAGAGGTGCAGCCAGGGTTGCACAGCTGAATTGCCTTCACCTGTGCTTCCAGGACTGACTGGGTCCATTCCCAGGTGCTCAATCAGTGCTTCAGGCCATAACTTAACAATAACCATAGAGAGTTCCCAGGGAATTTAGCATGATCTCCATAATTAACGTCAAATACTCATTAAAAAGTTTATTCAATAGATAGCATAATAGTCCTTAATACATAAACAGTACACTAAGGAAGCAAACGTACAGAAGGCCCTTGGCCTGAAGAACTGATTTGATAGTTTGTTGCTACACTGTAACAATTCACAGCAAATAAGTTGCTATATTTATATCCATGCTAGGTGACATTGCTATGGAAATCATATGCCTCTAAAAGCTCAAAGAAAAATTCATAGTGCCATTTTAGAGAAATTTACCAGAAGGATAAGGCAAGCTTCAAAAAGATTTTCAAAGTTTTCCTGAATGACCCGCTACACTACCAACAAATATACAGATGATATAACATAATCAAGAGCTTAGCTTACATAACTATTATTCTAGAGCAAAAAAGGACACTCACCCATCCGAGGCTTGTGTAGAAAAATCCAGTAGAAAGACTCTCCAGAAAAGATCCTTCTCCCCAGCTCTCAGCTCTTAAATGGGTCTAGGAGAGGTGGAGCCAGGCTCTACCACTTCTGGCAGCATGGGTGAATTGCCTTCACCTGTGCTCCTGTGGCTGACTCATTGCTTGCCTCAGGTGATCAATCAGAGGTTCAGGCTATGATTCAGCAGTCCCCATACACCCACTAAAATTGTTTTACAGTAACTTCACTAAGAAAAAATTCATCTGTGAAAGCATACTCATAATATTAGCTTATCAAACACTTTATATGTTAATTTAAAGAAAATATTTAAAAAGTGGTAACCAACAGTAATGGTTTTGAACCTTGTAGTGGAAGCCCTGAGTCATGGCCTGACCCAATGATTGAGCACCTGGTGGGAAGGCAGGGCCAACCCGGGGCAGCTCAGGTGCACGTAATGCCCCTGAGTGACTGGAAATGGTGGAGTCAGGATCCACCCCTTCCCAGCCCTCATTTAAGTGTTGGCAGGGGAGGTACAGGTTTCTTCCCTACCTACTTGAGGCTTTGTGAGGGTTTTTGTTTTGTGTTTTTGTACCTCCCCTTTTTTTTTTTTTTTTGCTTTTCTTTACATGCTGATGGCTTTGTACTTGAGCAAGTTCTCTCTTGCTGCAGCTTAGGTTTTTGCTGTTCTGCTATCATTATTGTGCTTTTTTTCTATTATGTTATACATCTCTATTGTTAAAAGCTTTCTGATTTGCATGTAATGTTATACTTGCTGCAGTTATGCTTACTCTTGAGAAGGTTGAAATGGCTCCATTACTGGGTGATTGTTTGTTTTTTTTTCTAGAGAGATAGTGGTAACTCTGTGATGATGTTTCTTGTTTTGTACAGGGAAGATTACTGGTGTGATTATTCCTTCTCCTGCTATGTAAAGCAGATACCTCAAAGGTGGTCATCTCTAGAGTGCCGAAGAAAAATGTCAAGTGGGTAAGTTATCTTAAAGAATCCTTTAAGAAGTACTTGCTAAGACATACAGGTTTATATAGTATATGTAGTATATACTACATACTATGATTTAACTTTGTAAGTATTTTATTATCTGGACTAAAAGGGGTTATCAGAAACTTTTTCTATTTATTATCTTTAATGTAACTTTTTGTTGAGATTCTTTTCCTTGTTAAATAAAAGTTTTGAAGACTATGAGGTGTTTGTCCATAAGGAAACTAGGACTAGGGTAAGAAAAGGCAACTTGATATGAGAGATTTTGTGACTTTTAAATCATTGTGTACAATTTATCCCTAAAGTAAATTTTATCTCTAACTTCAAAGGAATGTTAGCAAGCTGATAGAAAAGACAATTAGATGAGTTTATTTTCTATTTGCCATCATGTTGCTGCTAGTTTGCTGTATCTACAGTACGTTTAGGTTTCACGCAAATTAGAAGTAATGCAATGAGTAAGGCTATTTTTTGTTAACGCTTACAGTCAAAGAGCTTTCTAAGAATTGACCAGAACGAATCCAATGTGACAACAAATGTATTTATCAGAAACAAAACTTATGCAGGGGACTTCAATGCATCAGACACAAAAGGGATGTTGTAATTCGTTCATTTCCCAGTCAACAGCTGATACCGTTGAGGTTGGTGATCTTGAGCGTTGTATGGGAACTGAGTTGCAATATTAAACTATGTGCTGTGAAGTGTTCTTTCGCTAGTGCTGCCTGCTGCCATTCCAGCTTCTGTTATGATGGAGAGGAAACCTTCTGCACAGCGAAAGGGGCTAAGCTGTAATTTAGGAAATTTTACAAACAGAAATTGTACTGGAAAACACTTTTTGTTAGCTAACTAAGTTCATAAAAGACAATGATAAATACAGCTGTAAAAGCTCAGGAGCTTCCCTGGTAAGCAAGCTCTGTATCCAGACAGCTAAATTAAATAGGAGAACTCCAAACCAAGCAAGTGAGAGTAGCTAAATAGTATCAATTAACATTGGCAGGCCTTTTTTAATAAAGATTTTTTTCTGATGTTTATTTTCTATCAAAATATTTTTCTTGCAAAGGATTCTCTATGGGAAGAAAATAAAATGGTATAACTTGATGTCAAACACAGTATTCTAACTAGCAAGTTTATTAGCATCATAGTTTGCTATTGTTTATCGATGAAAGAGGTTTTAATTTACTAAACCCCAAGTAATTAAAACAGGAAGGCAATGCTGATAGAAACAAATGAAATAATGCAAACCACAATGCACTCAATTTCTAGCTATGCATCTAGTGTAGTAACAGAAGATGAAAATCAAGCTGGCTGGGGCCCAAAGTGTTGACAGTAGAAGGAGGAAAGGGAGGTAGAGAGAGACAGTTTAAAATAAGGAAAAGATGATCTTTATCCTATTGCACCTTCCAGTGGATTTGATAACCAAGTACATATTTTTGTTTCTGCCCTTTGGGGCAGGTGGAAAATGGAGAGAGATGTTCTGATGTGACTGAGTGAATCTGAATGATACAGATGAGACCAGTTCTCTCCCATCTCATTACAGTAAGTTGAGGTTGTTTGACCCTTTTCTTCAGAGCAGTTTTGGCCACATGTGGGACTGCACCATTCTGGTCCAGAATGCATGGAAAACTACAGCCATTATGAGTGGAAGGCTGAGCTAGGATGGGTCAGCTGCTGCCTGGGTCACAAAGGGAAATTTTCTTGTATTGAAGTGGGATTGTGACAAATGATTTGAGGAAACAGTGGAGGCAGGCATTCCACTATGGCAACACATTTTCAAACAGGCAAAAGCTCTTCTCATGGACTGTCATTGAACTGACACGTACACACATAGCAGTACTGTATTGCAAAATGCCCCCCTCATAATTTGCCCGTCTTTAAATTAATGCCACCCTTTTGAATCGTGTAAAGTTCCCTATGATATATTATTTTCAAGTCTTCTGGAGTACAGTTCTCGATATGGGAAGGGGGATTCTGCCATTTTTATCAAAATGCTTAGTTTCTAGATTAACTTTAACCTACATGGTTAAATCAATGCTCCCCTGGCATGTTATTTTGCATCGTATACTGTGCCTGCTGTTATGCAGTTTTCTAGATATCACTTGAAATCAGTCAGGTAGTAGAGTCACAATACAGCTGCTTTAATCCTCTATTTCTTGCAATACATGTAACTTTTCCTTGTCCTATAATATTGTAGTAAAACAAGTATATCAACTATAATATTTTATAAGTTAGTCAGAAAGCATAGGATTTGAACAAAGTCTTGGGATTAAATCTGTAACCCATCTTGTAGGGCTTTACACTATCATTCTTTGACTCAGCCTCTGGGGTATTAGAAAAAGAAAATTCATTTCATAAATACTAATGCGTTGTCCTCAATAGAACTGGTCAGCATTTATATACTTAATTGATGACTTTTAAAAATAAAGTTTGGAAAAATACTTTACAGCTATCCTTTTGGTAAATTCTGTCTATTTTGCAAAATCAACTATGAAATATAGAGCAAACCAGGAATTAAAAACTGACACTGGACATCAAGCAAAGTATAAGTGTCTGCAAGAATGG